CGCCGCGCCGCGGGGGGAGGGGCGACCGCGTTCGCGTTTTCGCCGCGCCGCGGGGTCCACGTGACGTCATACGCTCGCGTTATCTCTTCTTCGCGCGCGGTCTCTTGCTCCCGGCCCCCCCCCGGCCCCCCCCTCCCACGTTCGCGCGCGTCTTCTCGTTCGCGCGGTCTCTCTCCCCCGTTCGCGCGTTCTCGCTCACGATCGCGTATCTTTTCTTCGCCAACGATATTTAATCGTTTAGATCTTCGCGATATTTAATTTTAATATTACATTTAAGTAAACGATAAACAAAGACAGCTTAACGACAAGGAACGGTAAATGAAAAGGAAATTTTTTAACCATATTATATATTATTTATTTCTCATGTAGCGCAATATACACAATAGTATCTAAAGCGTAGGCTAATAATTCGCAATCAATAATCAAATTTTTATCATAAACTTCACGCAAGATTTTAACTGCATTACATTTATCGATGATCCAATTTTGGCGTAAAATTGTTACAAACTGTTTGAATTTTTCACTTACGCCATGAACATTTTGACATAGTTGAAAATACACATTTTCAACGCAATGTTCTAGTTCGAACAGGAAGAGTACGGTTGACGGTTTCATGTACAAGCTGGTGCCGCACGATGTCAATTTTACAATATCTGCGTCGCGTATTTTAACGAGTTCCAAATCTCGAAACGCTAGCGATGATGATGCCGGCGACTGCACGAGTCGCTGAATACCTGCACGTTTTTCGATGAATGTCATTCACGTTGAATGAGGCAGAATTATCCGATTGCCTCGGTTATCGCCAATAAGTATATCCACAGAGGACATAGGTCCAGCGTTGATTCCAACATCCAAAAATTTATATGCGGTCGATGTCAAAGCAAATCTCTTTCCCAAAATACGAGGCGTGTAGCGGGGTTTATTAAAACTGAAAAAAATACAATTATGTTTATAAAAGTTTTTTTTTTTGCACAAGTATATACGAAAATTAGCGGTACTTACTCATTGTGCTGTTTCTCACACGTTTCGTTCTGAATCGGAACGTAGTAGTTCGCACCGTGAGTGTTCATCGTATCTGGAGGCTGTTTATTGCAACGTACTCGAACCGTATCGAACTCTCGACTGCGCGCTAATATTCGCCCAAGGTAGCGATAATTTGGTTGGATCCTTCCACCAGGTCGCGTTCCGTTTCATTGAGATGTTTCATGTTTTTTATACTGTCTTTTTTCACACACTATTTTTAAATCACGCCACAATCTTCGAAGGAGCACTTGCACGTGACTCGATCACACGCTGAACAATATCATGTGCAATGTTGAACGTGATTGTGCATGCATGTATATACCCGATATCAAGTATTTGTATAATGTTGAACGTGATTGTGCATGCATGTATATACCCGATATCAAGTATTTGTATAATGCTGTATGAAACCATTGAATATAGTTGAGTATGTTGTTAAATATGGATTTGGAATTGGAATCTTCGATCTTAACGGACAAATAATTCATTTTACAAATGTTATTGTACACCCGAGACACCCTTGCACGGAGCATCTTTTCTATCACGTTTGATATTACGTTTGTAACGTGGGTTGTATTTTCTATATTGACATTTCTTTTCAAAGTCAAATACGTAAAGCATGCCACAGATCAAAAGTTCGCATTGCGCGTCACCTAGTTTGTAAATAGTCTCCAGATCATTGCTTGTTCTCGGATCATATTTCCACCAACCATTTCGACCTTTGTAAAACCATTGGTACTCTTCCTCAGGATGTTCCGATTCCTTCTGAGGCTTCTCCACTTCCACCAGCTGAGGTCTCTCGAGAAAATCCGGTGGGATCTCTTGACGACACATCGGACACCGCTTGCTCTGATTAGCGACACCCTTTACGCACAGATAGCAGTATATATGGCTGCTGGATGGATACATGGCTGCAGTCATACTGCGCATTCTGGCACAACAATGGGACCTTCCTTTTCCTCGGAATCCTTATCCTTCTCTTTAATGCCGCCGCCAGATTTCTCCGGCACGTCGAACTTCGCTTGCGCCATGGCAGGACGAGTCGCGCGACCGCCGACAGGGTCAGAGTCTCATCCGACGAAGCCCGATACAGCTCTTATGCATGAACGACATAGTGCAAGTGCACCATCTGTTGAATAATAAAAAAATAGTACGCACTCTTTTGTATGTAAATTTAGTGCAACGATTTCCTCACGCGACACTATTCTTTCAATGACTTTTTTACGACCATCTTCTTCATCGCTGAAATAATCACTGTCATCCGTTAACGCTCGATTCTCGTCTACATCTATATCGAAATTATTGTCATCTCCTTTATCGTGAAAAGTATTACTCTGTATTGAATACTCGGCACAAAAAATGTAAAATAACCGCTATACTTTTTTCCAATCGATGTACCGACGCGTAGACTATCAAATCACAGACTGTGATTTTGACTCGCTTCATTCTTTCTTATATACTTTTTTATTGCCTTTTTTTCTCTCGTTCCAACTAGAGCATCGCGTATCGTTTCTTCTGTTTTAGTGCATGGTGTGCATACACTGCAAATTTTGCAATTTCGCATAAGTCAATAGAGCGATATTGTTTTTTTTTTTAAGAACATGTCGCGACATGTCTCGCCATGATTTCATCGAACACGTGCAAAACTGCAAATTTTGCAAATAGCGCCGATGTATGGCTGCTGCAATTATACATATCAAATCACCGAAAGTCAATGGCACGATATCGTTTTCAAGAACATACGTGTCTCGCAATGATTTCATCGAACACGTGCAAAACTGCAAATCGTACATTTTTCGATAAAAAAGCAAACGATGCATCATTAGTAGGATATAAAATGACGAATCTGGGGGGGGGGGGGAGGGGGGATACGCTCAGTAGTCGAGAATTGGAAGTCGTGAGTACAACAAATTGTGTTAGAAAAAAGATCGTGTAATAACATGTGTTTTGTAAAAATACCGCGAAAAATTAAATTGAAGAGAGCGGCGATAAACATGCAATCAAGAGACAATGCATGTTTCGCATGGTCAATGGTGGCTGCTCTACATCCAGCCGAGAGACATGCAGAACGCGAATCGTCGTATCCACATTACACGTCGGTGCTAAATCTTACGGACATTGAGTTTCCAATGACGTTGGATCAAATTAAACGGTTTGAAAATCACAACAACATCTCCATCAACGTGTACAGCATCGAGAAAAAAAACAAGGAACTTGCAATCCTACCAATACGTGTTACTGACCGAAAGATGGGCAGACACGTAAATCTGCTGTACGTGCATGACGACAACGTGGGACATTTTGCATGGATTAAGAACCTATCCCGCCTCGTGAGCTCGCAAATCAATCGACACCATGGTTGGAAATACTTTTGCGATCGGTGAGTATACATCCTAATAAATAATAAAAATAATTTTTACGTAAAAGATATTAAAAAATTTCATTATTTACAGATGTTTGCACTATTTCTACACGAGCGAGAAATTGGAAGCCCACACCGTCGACAGTCGGGAGATGAACGACTGCGCGATCAAGTTACCGAGCGATAACGATAAGTGGTTGGCCTTTAAGAATCACAGCAGGCATGCATAAGATCCAAATAACACAAGATGTACACCTTGTCCAAAACGAAAATAGCTCTAAGTCCGTACGACAATAAGCGATACATTATACCCGGTTCTACTGAGACGCTGCTATGGGGGGCATTATCAAATGCCATCGTAAATATATATTGTAATTACATTTAAATATGTATGAAAATAAATGACTCATTTGTATGTGTAATATGTTTTTATATTGTAATAAATTTTTACAATACATTATTCTTGTGTATCCATGAATTATGTGAATTATCAAATCCTAACCACTTTACATAAACCTCACCCCCCCCTTTTACGCAAAACTTTTTCAACGAGATACACGTCGGGATTAGCAACGCGATGTAACTCG